ACAAAAAAAACCTTAGTTTGATTAGCGAATAAAACAGATGTCTTCTTATGTATGTTTAATTATTTTAATTTTTTCTTTTCGCGCTTAAAAAACACATTGATTTCTTGAATAAAAACAAACAAACTAGAAATAAAACATAAAAAATTATCTTTAAATGAAATATTTCAGTGAATTTCTCGTTTCTTTTGATTTATCCATTTCAAAACAGATACGCTGATTCTAAAGTGCGTGTGTGTGTGTATGCGTGTGTGTGTGTGTGCGGAGGTTGCAAGCATGCGCGTACATGCGTGCGTCTATGTGTGTTTTTATGGTACTTATAGGGAAGCGGTTGACTAACTATACCTTTCACTTATATTGAAAACATATGGATAGTAACAAAATAATAATAATAATAATAATAATAATAATAATAATAATAAGCATTCTGTTTCTCTAGTCATATCATTATGAATCTTTAGTTTGTTATTGTTTGTTTTGTTTATTTTTCTTTCAAGAATATACAAATATTAGTTCTATAGAATCAAATGAGTTCAATGCATAGTAACTAATTCATGAATATATATGGATCAATTGTTGATGGAATGTCGTTTTCTTAATGAGTATAACATATTTTATCATTTCTCTATCTATATATAGTAAAATATATGATTTCATTAAGAAGTAGACATCTGTTATCTAATTGTGTAAAAATCTTAGAAAAATTGAATTATTGCATAGGTATATCGTATGTTTCAAATCATAATCAACATTCTTCAATGTGTAGGTTGAATGAAAAATGATTTCTTCTTTTGTTTTTGTTTTTGTTTTATTTTGTTTCTATGGTTTGAATGTAGTAGAATATGTTATTATTATTATTGAAGACTATCAAGATAGTATAAGAAACCTGTTCAGTGTTCTAGGTCGTCATCAATTTACTCTTTAAAGATGTTTCATCCTATATGGGATGAATCAGCTAGATGTACCTAAATCTTAGAGTTGATGTTAACTGTGACACTTTAATCCATTAATATTCACTTCAAATGTTTTCGCGTCATTCATTTAGTAAACATCAACTCTCAGATGCAGGTACATATAGCTGATGAGGCCTAAATAGAACGAAACATGCTTCAAACTGGAATCCAACGCTAGCCACTATGCATCTTTGCTTAAAATAAAGCTTGTGACTTAAGGTAATATCGAGACAATCGTATAGGATGGACATATGCCAACATGAGACTGATCGATCGTAGTTGTAAATAATAATGGAAAGATACAAGTAAAACAACATCAAGTGAATTTAAATGATGAAATGTATTATAGACAGAGGTTTATAATCATTGAAATTCGGTAACTGGTAAGTGGAATCAAACTGAAAGATAAATCAACACTGGATAAGCGTGTATAGCATAGTCTAGATGTTTTAATATGTCAAATTGAAAGATAATAAGTTTGGGTCTAAATTTGAAAACCGATACTTGAATCAAACTAAACCGAATTAAACGAGCATCCAAGATCTCAATGTTAGCAGTTGTCAAACTTTACTAAAATGCTCGTAAACATCAGATTAACCGAATAATATCATGTTATGTTCCAATGGCCTGTCAATTATCACGTAATACAATTGCTAATTAGAACGCCAAATTACTGACCAGGCCAATGGCATATAAGCCAGTATGAACAGTCTAGAGTCAATCCTGAGCTCCTATTGGTCTAGCGAGATAGTAGTTTCTCGCCTAATTCTAAAATAAGTTAAAATATCAATCTAAAGATTATTGTGACTTTAAGCCCGGCTAACTATCACGTGCATTATTCTCTCATCGAAATATGACTTATTCAATCTTAGTACTGTGTCAAACCAATCACGTATCAACCGGTGTAAACATTCATTCTCCTCCTAACTCAACCAGTTCAATCCAGTACACTGATATCAGCCTCTGTTATATGAATCATGTATTTCAGACATACGCAGCTAATACACAAGCAAATCAAACTGCGTCATACCATAAAATAGAAAATACTAATTATACAAGATCAAACCAAAAGTGGCTGTCATTGTGAGAGACTGTTACTAATAAATTGGGAACATCTTAAGATTAGCAAACCGTATAATAATACCAGAAGGGTTTTGTGAAAATCATAGTAATTTTTCATAAGTGAATTCATGAGTTAATTGAAACTAGACCACGTTGGAAATCCTTGAAGCTTTGGACAGCTGTTCCGTCCTGTTATAGGACTCTTCAGAAGTGCGCATCCATGATCCCGCCTTGCAAGATCCAAACCCAGGACCCACTGATCCAGCTAAGTGGTCTATAGGTTAACCATTCGCTAACGAGACCTATAGGTCATGGGTTCGTATAATAATAACCTACAGATTTGGAATATGGATATACATATAGTATAGTTAGTTAATAATCATACAATAAGTAAATATATATTAATAGTCCACTAATAGATCCTAGCTGTTACCATTCACCTATTCTTCGGCCAGATACAATACATCAATCAATCTGAATTGCGACCATCAACTCAGTGGTCTAGTGATTAAGCGTTCACGCGCGAGACTGATAGGTCCTGGGTTCCAATCTCGTGAGGCGGGATCGTAGATGAGTACTGTTTAGGAGTCTCATACTAGAACGAAACGGTAGCCCACTTCTCCCAGGTTTCCAACGGTAGTCTAACATCGATCGGTTCATGATCTTAATCAAAAAGAACTCATAACGTACGATTTGTACTGTTTACAACTCATAAACTGGTTTTATCTACATTTCAGAGTGAAAGTTCAATCCAGAGTTCAAATTCAGTATTGTTTGTTTCAAAACTCATTGCATGATCTCATAGTCCTAGATCTCACTTCTAACTACATCCCATTTATTCAATATCAACTGCAGTTATTATAACTATGCCGAAGTACATAAGCCAATCACAACTGATCAAATCTCAGTCAAAAATATCAATGATGAAATAATCAATAATCCATTTTTTATATCATCAATTAACAATATCAATTATCATTGTCTTACTCTAATGCTTTTAATTTCTCCTTTTCGAACAGTTTCAACGAGGTCTGCCAAGAATAACTTTGTTAAATACTATGTGAATTATCTGTTTTAGAAATATATAAACAAAAAGATGATCGAAATGTGTCTTTTGCCAGATTGATTCTACGGTGATACTATAAGAACCAGTCAGATTTAGGACAACCGATCTTTGATTTTGGCACGAAATTCATTCACTCATTTGATTAATTAGAGTTTTGGCATTTTACCTGATGTCAGTTCGTGATGTCAACACTAAATCTAATTTCTAACCTTAACCATCAAATGTAAATCATAATCCTTACTCTTTACGCTGCTTTATAACCTTCATTTCACCTTAGAATGTGAACTGACTATCTTAAGGTTACTTCAACAATGTTCAAAGATCATCCATTAAGTATAGTCTCACCAATCCTATGTGATTTAACAATGTTCTGTTAATTAATGAATATAAAGAAAACTTTATCAATCAATAGACTGTTTAAATTCACTTGTTATTATCAGAATAGGTTTTCTGGAGAGTTTTAGAAATTTCACAGGTTGGAATCATGAGTCAGTTGAAGCTAGACCACCAGGTTTTCAATGGTGGTCTGGCTTCACTTGTTATCGTTTTACTTGTATCTCTCCATTGTTGTTTACGACTGCAATTGTTCAGTATCTTATTGACATATGTGTATCCTGTGCAGGTTGCCTCGATATTGCCTTCAGTTACAAGCTTTATAATCAAAGATCGATAGTGGTCAAAAGTGGAATCCAGTTTGACGCATGTTTCGTCCTATTCAAGACTCGTCGGCTAGATGTACCTGCATGTCAGAGTTAATGTTCACTCTGAGACTCGAACCCAGCAATGTTTGCTTCAAACTCCATCACGTTATCTATTTAATTACTGAGTCCTGAAGTACACATCAACGCTGTTGATTGATTAAATGATTGACAAAATGGATGCCGGCTCAGTGGTCCAGTAGGTTAAGCACTTGCGCGCGAGACCGAAGGCTCTGTGTTCGAATCCCGCGAGCGGGATCGTGGATGCACACTACTGAGGAGCCCCACAATAGGACGAAACGGCCGTCCAGTACTTCCACGTTTCCAAAGGTGCTCTAACATCAATCAATTCATGATGTCAATCAAAATGAATGAATTTTTTTTCTTTCAGAGATATTTATATCTTGATTCATAAATTGATTTTCACACAGTTTCCCGTATATTCCGTATACAAACACATACACACACATAGAGCGAGAGAGAATAACATTCACTGAGTAGTACCATCATTAAAATTACATTATCGATTCATAAAAGAAAATATTTCACTCTCTCTCTTTCTCTCGCTTGCACTATTTAATCTCTGTGCCATATTTTTTATCCAATTATAATAAATGAAAATATCTCATTAATTCAATTGACCAATCATAATTCAAATCATATGACCTTAATCATTCCATTAGAATAATGTAATATGATAGTGAAAATGCCAAAATCATAATGACAATTAACTGTTCCGATAATTGAATCCAGCAACAATAATAAATAATAACACACAGATGAGAATACACATGCACACTATCATAGATACGTACGCACGTATACGCACACGCAAGCACACACACACACACACAAATGTATTTGTACACCTACGCATTTTTTCAAAAATGCAATAATTATACTACTTAATTAAATGAATAATAAATGACAAAAAGAAAAAGTAAAAAAAAAGAAAACAAAAACAAAATAAAAATGGATAAAATAGAAATTCTTTTACTGTAAATAAGAATTCATACATTTATAATTGGATAAACTCTTGATAATATTGAACTCAAATTATTATAAGTTTGGCTTTAAGATTAGCATCTATCAAAGAAACGTGTAGCTTTATACATCTATATATAAAGAGAAAGAGAAGGATATACAGATACCGATTTATAATACGTGAAAGTGATACAAAAGTCACATTGTTTACAGTTCCTTATACATTTACAATAAATTATCATGTCTATTTCATATGTTGATGATATATCTGATGGTCAAGGGATATTTATCTTTGTCAAAATACTTAGAAGGTAAGATTATTCAGATGGTTAGATAATTTCATGTTGTGATTTCATTGTTTTGTTTTTGCTTTTTGTTGTTGTTATGGTTGAAGGTAAGATTCTGAGTTCAAGTTTCACATGGCGATATGGTGGATGTGAACTATTGAGGAGTCTTATAATAAGATGAAACGACTATCTAGTGTTTCCAGGTTTTTCATGTTGGTCTACATTCAATTGATTCATGAATTCAACTTTAGAATTACTTAAATCTCCACAATACCCCTTCTGATAATAATCATTGTACACCCACTAGTGACTGGTTTCAAGAGGTATTTCCCGGAGTTCTTCTGAGAAGCAGTGATCAGTGGAGTTCAATCGGGTCTGTTGTGAGATAGTAACTCACTGATGACAATGGTGGATGTGTTTCTCAACTTCGTGGATTAGTTGAAGTTAGACATTAACAAGGTTGGATACTAGCTGAGTGGTGTAGAGGTTGAGCGTTCACACGTGAGACTGATCGTTCTTGGGTCCTAATCCCGCAAGGCGGGATCGTGGATGCACACTGCTGAGGAGTTCGAAAATAGGACGAAACGGTCGTTCAGTCCTTCCAGGTTTTCCACGATGGTCTAACTTCAATTTACTCATGAATCCAATTGTTAAATGTATTTTAGTAGAAAAGTATAGAATCACTTAGTAAAACATAAGAACTATACATTGAATAGTTCATTTATAAATTTCCATCATTTGTTCATCACATTCTGTATGATTCTTCCAAGTTATCATTCTTATCTATTTTCATTTCTGTTTTACTTTTCAACTTGATCTTCTTAACCTTCTACTGTTAAGATTTTCATTTTCGATTAGTGTTACATACTACTTATATTTGTTGACATATGTAAAATATACACCACACTGTGATAATGGTCTCGACAGTTATATTTACTTTAGATTAATTCCAGCAGTTTATGTTCTTTTAATGATCCCAGTTTTAGTTGTTTGTTTTCTTTCAATTTCTAGTTAGTTAAATATGTAGAAGAAGAAATGTTTACTCTTTTTTTTTCTATTACAAAGTTACCTAGAAACAACATTCCTTGTCGATAAACCTACTTCAATGGAATGATTATAAGAATCGGTAATTAGATCTTATACTTCATTTGAGATCATCTCTAGTTACTTAACTTCATCAGCTCATAGACATATGATAATGTTGTATAGATTTCTAGGTATTTCATAAGACCTACATAGTGATGTAAATAGTTCTAATCAATAAGAAGTAAATAAATCCAGTAACTAAATGAATCATTACTTTATTATTGAACACCTTGTTACCATATCGAAACTAAAATCAAAAATTGATAATGATTTGAATGAATGCAATGCTAATCATATGATTAAATATTTTACTTATATTGATTGATTTGGATTTCTGTATAAAGTATCAAGTTACAATCAGTGTGAGTGAGTGAGTGAGTGAGTGAGTGAGTGAGTGAGTGAGTGAGTGAGTGAGTGAGTGAGTGAGTGAGTGAGTGAGTGAGTGAGTGAGTGAGTGAGTGAGTGAGTGAGTGAGTGAGTGAGTGAGTGAGTGAGTGAGTGAGTGAGTGAGTGAGTGAGTGAGTGAGTGAGTGAGTGAGTGAGTGAGTGAGTGAGTGAGTGAGTGAGTGAGTGAGTGAGTGAGTGAGTGAGTGAGTGAGTGAGTGAGTGAGTGAGTGAGTAAGTGAGTGAGAGATAGAGATTTGTAGAAGATGCAATGTAATCAATATTATTGAATATGATACTGAGTGAATAATGTCAAGATTTCCAGATCATCATTAATTCAATTAACTGATGACCTATTCATATATTGTTAGATATATTTATCTTGATAGTGATATTAATAGTTGAATTTATGAATCGACCATCATTGAAAATCTGGGAGCACTAAACGGCTGTTTTGTTTTACTATGGAAGTTTTCAGCAGTGAGCATCCACGATCTCTCATTAAAAGAACTTAAACACATGCTTAAAACCTAGACCATTGAGCTGACTGGTATCCAACAGTTTTAATATATAACTATAATTTAATTATAAACTACCTTTCTAATAATTATGATCATGTAGTTACTAGTGACTGGCTTCCTGCAGTTCTAGAGAGCAGCTCTGATCAACGGAATCCAACCCGTGTTGGGTAGAGATACTTATCTACCTTAGAAAATGGTGAGTGGTTGAAAAAGATCATGAATTGATTGATATTAGATATTAACAATATTGGAAGCTGACTCATTGATCTATAGGTTAAGCGTTTATACGCGTTCACACGAAGGTCCCGGGTTCGAGTCCCTTTAGTGTGGGACTATAGATATGCACTTCTGAAGAATCCCACACTAAGACGAAACGACCATCCAGTACTTTCAGCTTTTCCATCTCAGTGTAACTTAAATTGACTCATAAAATTCAACTATTTAAATCATAACGATCCCCACAAACCCCTATTCTAATATCTTGATAGTATCTTGAAATCTAATTTGTTTTACTGATCATTATTGAGTTATTTGAGTCTTAGTTGTTGAATTCAAATTGTTTCATTAGATTATCTTAACAGATACCATACCATTTTATTTCTATAAAAAGACCAAAAAGAGAAGATATTTCTCATTAGTTAACAGAATTCATTCATTATCCTAGTTACAGCAGATCATTAAGAAAAAATGAAACTTATTTTTGTCAGAAGGAGTTTTGTGGTGATCTTAGAAACTTCACTGGTTGAAATCATGAGTCAGTTGGCGCAACTTCGTGGATTAGTTGAAGTTAGATCTTAACATTGTTGAATGCCGGCCAGCTCAGTGGTCGACAGGTTAAGTGCACACGCGCGAAACCAGTAGGTCCTGGATTCGAATCATGCAGGGGGCGAGGCCGTGGATGCACACTGCTGAGGAGTCCCATACTAGGACGAAACGGCCTTCCAGTGCTTCCAGGTTTCCCATGGTGGTCTAGCTTCAATGGACTCATGATTTCGACTTATTTTTTGTATTTTCAAAGCAATTAGTTCCTTTGATAAATTTCGATAATGTAAAAAGAAGACGAAGATGATCAGAACTATGTAATGATACATTTCGAACAATCTGATCACATAAATACTATCAAGTGACCCAATAAGAAAGTCCATGGTATAATGAAACCTACTGTAATCTTGGTAGAAAAAAAGCCTGTCTACATCACTTTACCATTCAGTGATTCAAATAGCCTTTTATTGAAACAAAAACTTAAATCAATCAGTTATCAATAAAACGTAATGCACACCATAGGTTATTATCAAAGAAAGAATATGGTGCATGCTTCATCCAAAACCTAAAAGGTATGAAAACGATTATGTCACATCCCACTGTGTTTATCAATTTTAATGTGTGTGTGGTCACATATACATAGGGTGGAGCAATCGTGATCTCAAAATTAGAGTGTGTGAATATGTACCTATATGGTTGCAGAAACAGATACAATCAAGTGACCCAATAAGAGCAGAGGATAAACATCCATCATGTTCTATTGCTACACATATAATTGAAACAGTCCATAAGATTGATGTTAACTCGGCTTTTGTGATGTTGTATAAAAGTTTAAAACGGCGTATACTTAGGTTTATTGAAGCCTTAGCCATACGAAAATTCAAACCCTTTTTTGTATTTATATTTACTCTATCAGTGTGTGTGTGTGTGTATTCAATCGATTGTTTATGAATACTCTTATTTATTAAAACACATAAATCTTGGTACAAGGAGACACCAATTAGATATGCGTCATATAAATCGTTCGATTTGTGTGAGAGGTGAGATACTGTTCGAGTGCTCAAACCGAAGTAGGTGGTTTTCTTAGGGGGCCACACCCGGAGCTTTTGACCTGAAGGTCTGATCCATAAAGCAATGGAGCGACGTAAGCAGATGCCGTTACATGATAACCGATGACCATTAATTAGTTCATACGTCATTTGTTACTTCAGGATCCTGGATCTCATATACATCATTGATTTGGAATGAGGGTCTTCCAACTCCCCTAGATAGAACTTCCGTGTCTACCAACCCTGTTGAAGCACCAAACATTTACTTTTCGTCCTCTCGATTTCGTAACCCATACTCCCGTTGCGAGAAGGCGATGAGTAGGACATCCCTGGCAATGATTGTATGCACGTGGCCATGTGAGATCCTTTCAAGAGGGAGAAGTGACTCTCCCTACTCTCGGATATACCAGGGCATTTAGGGGTTATAGCTCAGTTGGCAGAGCGGAGGACTGTAGTTTGGTGCAGTTTATGAATACAATAAAAATCTAATGATTATATATCTCTCTACTCTAGGTATCTAGAACCAAAAATATAGTTAAAAAATTGTTTCGTCCCACTTTTTAAAAGCTTCAACAGTTGTGATTCACTACTAAAACCTCATTTAAATAAACAATTATTAAGTAGTGTAATGATCATTCAACTGTTATTAGACTTCAACTTTTGATTGAAATTATTATCAGTATAGGATTTTGAAGATGATTAAGTTTTTGATTGAGATTATAAACCGATTCATGTTAGACCACCATTGAAAATGTAGACGATCGTTTCGTCTTATTGTGGGACTCTTCAACAATGCGCATCTATGATCCTACGATCATTGAATCCCCTGAGCAGGATCGTAAAATTATTTTTTGTAAAACTTACTTTCAATAAACTATCTAATAAATGACCGATTGGTTAACTATAACCATTGGAACTAATTCATTTACAGATGGAACAGTATTTTTATTGATAATACTACATCTGAATTACATTAATGTCTAAAGTTGACTAACGTTGTAAAATAGAGACTATAATTTATTCCATCTGTTTGATTGAATCAATTTGTATACACTACGTTACATGACTTTTCATAGACCATTAGATGACATTATAAGCAAAGATGAATAGTGACTAGCAATGGAATGCTTATGAGTCAAGGCAATATCGAAGCGATCCGCATTAGATACACATATGTCAATCAGAGACTGATCAATTGCAATCCTAAACAACAATGGAAATG